GTCCTTGGCTCTTTGGTCCTTGGCTCTTTGGTCCTTGGCTCTTTGGTCCTTGGCTCTTTGGTCCTTGGCTCTTTGGTCCTTGGCTCTTTGGTTCTTGGGTACTGATGGGTCCATGAGCATCATGTAGTCCTTGAAGTTCCCCAAGAACAGATCTAGAATCTTCCTTGTGGTTCCCTTCTGTCCAGAGGGACATGCTTGCTCTGTATGATTTATTTATTTGTTTGTTTATTTGTATTTGTCTTCAGTGGTAATCACAAACAGAAGTTTTACTATGGTCACAAGGAAATTATGATTCCAGGTAAGTAAGAATGAAAGAAAAAAGTAAAGACAGCGAAAGGGAAGGGAAAGGAAGGGAAAGGATTGGAAGGGAAAAGAAAGGGAAGAAAAGGAAAGGAAAGGAAATGGAAGGAAAGAGAAGAGAAGAGAAGAGAAGAGAAGAGAAGAAGAGATACAACTAAATTCAAAAGATAGGAATACAAATGATTTGTTGCATGTACTTGAAAGGAAAGAAAAAATCGCGAATGATTTGGAATCCGTATTTAATTACTCCTATTACCTATTTGTATCAATAACGTTATTTTTTACATTGTTTTATCAAGTCTATAAGGACATGGGTGAAGCCATGAACAAGCATCCAGAAGCTGATGTATTGATAAACTTCGCATCGTTACGATCTGCCTACGATGCTACTTTAGAAGCATTGACCTTCCCTCAGGTAATGAGGCATCTATATTTTATTTATTTATAGTGAAGATTGTTGTTTGGGTTCTGGGTCAAGGGAAGAAAAAAAGGGAGAGATTCCTGCTTTTTTTGCAGGGTTTGGATGGTTCCATTTTCAAAGAACACTAAAGAGAGTTGCCTTCAAAAGTTGTCTTCTTATCTCATCATTGCTCAACTAGCAGAGCTCAAACTTAACCTTTTTGTCAACAAACAAACATTTGATTTCTGTTTGTTTCTTAATGAAAAAATTGGTCAGATCAAGGAACCATTTACTTGAAAATGTTTTTTAGTAATCTTTTTTTCAACTAGCAAGGTCAAGAAAAGCACTTAGCACTTTGCTAGTTGCTACTGGTTGTTTCGAGCCCTGACTACATCTAAATACTTCCATATCAAATGCAGTTCTCTCCAGATACTGAATTCTGGGGCATAAATTTGGATTGATCATTCCTTTACTTAACACTTGCCCCTTGTAACCAATTGCTGTCCTCTCCGATCAGATTCGTACAATTGCGATCATCGCTGAAGGTATCCCAGAAGCAAAGACTCGAATCTTAAACAAAAAGGCCACAGAAAAGGGCGTCGTCATAATCGGACCAGCCACTGTAAGTACATTGATATCTTGCTCTATTTATTCAATATTTAATCACTCTATTTACCATACTAAATGACCATTTAGGCTGACAATGACTAGCTAGAATTGCTAGTTGGGACAGCGTAGGTGTATCAAATGCAACTTACAAGGGAATAAAGAAAACTTAAACACCGTGCATAAAACAAGTTTGAAACTAAATCCAATAAGTGTTTGTAAGCCGAGTTAAGATTCATGATAGTTATGATTCATCAGCTTTTCAATTATAAATCAAGCCAAGCTTTCGAGCATCTTGCTCTTCATCAGGGCAAACGGTTGTGACAGTTTTACAAGAAACACGCAACATAACAATGTGCGCGTGCTATAGTTAAATGTATCAGTTGCTAGCGCGCGTGTTACGAAGGGAGAATTAATTGCGCGCGCTATTTTTTTTTTGTCTATCAAGATACGCTATATGATCTTAATTGCCTATCAAGCTACGATAGCTATCAGGCTTGATTTATAATTAAAAAGCTGATGAATCATAACTATCATGAAGTTTGAAACTGTACTGCATGAGTTTTCGGACTCGAGTCCTTCGTCGGAGTAAAAAAAGATACTTACACCATCACCTGACAATGAGTATCACTTTACTACAATTTTCATAAACATGCAAACTCTGTGATGCAAGCTGCACACTGAAATTTGGTTTTTCTTTGCCGTTAATCAAACCTAATCGGTCGGTATCTTTCATATTTTTGACTGATGGCAGTGAAAAACCAAATTTCAGCGTGAAACTCGGAGACACAGAGTTCGCATGTTTATGAAAATTGCTATAATCAAACAATATTCTCTATCCTGGAAAAAGTTGCTTACGGTAGCAGCAAGAGTCTGGTAGAGGGTGAACGTGCACATTTTGCTGCGAAAGCACCCACTGTATTCACTGAACTCCATTAGTATAATCCATGTAGAAAACCCTACCGTTGCAAAAAGCTTTTTGTTATTAAGAATGTCTCAAACATTTGCAGTTTTCTTCTGTCAAAAAAAAAGTTATAATGTTAGCTGGTTAATAGGAGTAATGGCTACCTCCGAGGGATAACCAAAACTATTCTTGCTATATTCACCAGGTTGGAGGAATCAAGCCAGGCTGTTTTAAAATTGGTAACACTGGAGGAATGTTGGACAACATTCTGGCGTCAAAACTATACAGACCTGGAAGGTTTGTCAACTTATTCAGTCCCCAATTGGTTGGCCACTTCTGGCTATCTAGAAGATGTTCACAAAACTCCCCCTTTTCAACTGATTTTTCGGAAGACCGTCAACCAAAATAACTTACTGAGCTTCCGTCCCATCAAACAAACGAGTAACTTACTGACTGATTCAGTCACTGACGGACCGACCAACAGACCGACCAACGGACCGACAAACGGATTGATCGACGGACCGACGAAGGACTGACAGACAGACAGACCGACCGACTTACTGACTGATTCACTTACAGACGGATGGATGGACGGACTTTTACTGACCATACGACCGACCACTGAACTGAACGACCAACGGACTAGAAATTAGAGCTATAAATGTTTCCTATGTTATTTTTGCAGCGTTGCCTATGTATCCCGATCTGGTGGCATGTCTAATGAACTCAACAACATCATCGCTAGAAGCACTGACGGGGTGTATGAAGGAATTGCTATTGGTGGAGACAGGTATGACGTAGTTGCCTTACTTGTATCCATCATGAAATGTTTTCCAGAAACAAGGTTGATTCATGGATCTGCATGTACGAAAAAATAAATAGACCTATTTACTTTGGTTGTAAGAGTTTCCTTTTTCAGACCACGTGTCATTCCCTGGAGTATCGTTTCTTTGTTCGGTACTAAATCTAATTTTGACTGTTGTCTAGTATCTTTTATATTTGTTTATTTGTTTAACGGTTGCACTCTGGAAGACACATGAATATGGATACAACTCCAACAAAGAATCTTATTTTAAAGAGAACGACGCGTGGTCTGAAATGGAAGACAATTTACGCCCAAGAGGTCTATTGCCCTTGAAAGGAGCGAATGAGAAACTGGGTGTTAATCTGCTGCCTGGAGACAATGATTCAGCGCATGCGTACTTTAGTTGACCCACAGTGGTTTTACATTTGTTTGTTACAGGTATCCTGGTACCACTTTTATCACTCACATGTTCCGTTACCAAGACAACCCAGATGTTAAGATGATCGTACTTCTGGGCGAGGTATGATGCCTTCGGTCGGCACTTTCTTCCTTTTCTCGCTCTCTCTTTTCTTCCTTCCTTCCTTCCTTCCTTCCTTCCTTCCTTCCTTCCTCTCCTTATTTTCTTAATAAAGGCAATATTTTTGACATTTGGTTTTTAGGTCGGTGGACGCGATGAATACGAAATCTGTGAAGCCTTAAAAAGTGGACGAATCAACAAACCTGTGGTGGCCTGGTGCATAGGAACATGCGCAAACATGTTCACTTCTGAGGTGGGGCCGCGTTTTTTAAGGCACTTCGTTTCCCTCATGTTTCTAATCAATTTACATCTTTTTCCTGGCTTAGGTTCAATTTGGACATGCAGGTGCCAGCGCACACAATGACCAGGAGACAGCAGTAGCAAAGAACAAGGTAAGCATTGTCAGTGATTTTCTCACAACGCCTTTTCATTCAAGGGGGATTGTGGCAGAGACATAGGAGAGGTCTTCCTTTCCTTGTTCTTTCTAATCTATTCATCTATTCCCCTTTAGAGCCGTTCAATGTTGACTATAAATAATATATTTTTCCTATCTTCAGGCATTGAAAGAAGCAGGTGCACACGTTCCTGAAAGTTTTGACTCATTATTCGATATTATCCGGTAAGCCGTTTTAATGCTGCTCAGGGCCGGGTTGTTCAAAGCTGGATTAGCGCTAATCCAGGATTAACTCTATAGGTCTTATTAAGAGTTAACCCAGGATTAGCACTAATCGGGCTTTGAACAACTGGGCCCAGTAGTGAAGCGAATGGGCTTGATAAGATCAATCATGCAAATCTTGAGAATAACTGAAGAATCCAAGGGAATGCTATTCTTCCCACCCACTCTCGAGGCATTCCTGGACAGGAAGGGCCAGGCTGTAGGGGTAGTCAGTATACCTCCCTTAGACCTGTCACGGAACACGAACACCATACCATCACAGGTATTCTTACATTGTAGGGTATTTTTCACCTTATAGCTCGGTGTACGAGGATCTGGTTAAGAAGGGCACCATCGTTCCTGCCCCAGAGAAAAAGCCACCAACAGTTCCTATGGACTATCAGTGGGCACAGGTAACCCATACATTTTAATGTGCACATCTTTCTTGTTGACCATGCCTCTAAGCTTCCATACCCTCCACCCACAAACAGTTCCTATGGACTATCAGTAGGCACAGGTAACCCATACATTCTAGTGTGCACATCTTTCTTGTTGACCATGCCTCCATTCCATACCCTCCAACCACCAACAGTTCCTATGGACTATCAGTGTTCACAGGTAACCCATACATTCTAATGTGCACATCTTTCTTGTTGACCATGCCTCCATTCAATACCCTCCAACCACCAACAGTTCCTATGGACTATCAGTGTTCACAGGTAACCCATACATTCTAATGTGCACATCTTTCTTGTTGACCATGCCTTCATTCCATACTCTCCAACCACCAACAGTTCCTATGGACTATCAGTGGGCACAGGTAACCCATACATTCTATTGTGCACCTCTTTCTT